GGGGGGGGGGCTCCGCGTTGCCGGGAACACCCTGGAATCGGCCTCAGAGTTTCCCGAGGGTACTGCGTCTGCCCTCCCAGAGCACGCAAGCTCAGTCTACTCAGCTTCCGGTGGGAAACTGGTGGAAATCAGGCCACAGAACAAACCACTCAACACCTACTAGTCCATAGGTTAGAGAAGCAGGTACTATAAAAGGCATAGCTCTTTTTTAAAAAAGGTTCTGGATCCCAGAGGTCCTCAGATTCGGGAAATGTAGCCCATTTTCTACCGGCCGGTGGTGATACCATTGCTTATTTGGCTTTCTTCTTCCTCCCCTTCCCGCCTACTTTCCGCCTTTCCCCCTCTTCTTTCTGTGATAGTGGGAATTAAACCCGGGGCCTTGCAACTGCTAGGCCACTCTTCCACTTAGTAGCTGCGTCCTCAGCCTCAAGTGGGTCCCAGCTTTGACCTCACCACCATGTGCACGCCCAGGATATAAAACTCTGGCAAGTTCAAGTCCAGCCTGGGCAGTTTAATGACTTAGCAAGACCCTGTCTCAAAATAAAAAAGGGCTAGGATGTAGCTTAGTGCAAAGGCCCTGGGTTCAATCCCCGGTATCATCAAAAGGAAAAGGAGGAGGATTGGAGAAGAAAACACCTTCCTGGGTTGATTGAGGCGTACATAGTCTCTGGCATACAGTGATGGTCTAGTTGTTGCAGACTTCAGTGGAGGTGACTTGAAAAAATGTCCTGATATGCCAGGTGGAAGAGAGTCACTGTGAGTTGGGGGCCAGCCTGCACTACATAGCAAAGCAAGACCACATCTTTTTTTCCTCAAAATTATATACACACACACACACACACACACACACACACACACATAACATGGGATATCTATGCATGTCTGGGACAGTTGAGGAAACTATACAGTGATGTTCGGTGTTTTCCCCTTCCCACATGGACTTTAGATAAAGGGTGGCAGCATGAGGGGATGGATCAAGAAACATAGAAATGGTACAATTGCAAGTGACAGTCAGGGAATCTGGGGGAGGCAGTCCAGGGATCCTGCTCTCTCCCTTCCTCATCAGCCTTTTTCTATCCAATCTGAAGGACAGCCCGAAAGCCGGAAAGTGAAGATGCCAGTCACCACAACCCCTTTCTCCCACCTGTTGGGACGCAGCATTGACACCTGACCTAATCACACGAGAGCGAGGTTACTGAGCCCTAGCAGGCAGCTGTCTTTGCCTCAACCATGTTCCCTGCTTCCTCCAAGGTGGGTCATCTCCTAAGAACCTGCCTCCCCACCCATGCAGTAGCACTCAACTCTCTAGGTTTGGGAGCTCAGTTTTTCCATTCTCTTTCTCTTTCCCTAACAACACTCCTGGCATTTGATTACATCAGAATCACTGGCAAGACCCTATCTCTCTCTCTCTCTCTTTTTAGACAGGGTCTCATTATGTAGTTGAGACTGCCATGGAGCTCACTGTGTAGCCCAGGTTGGTTTTGAACTTGCAGCAATTCTCCTGCCTCAGCCTCCCGAGTGCTGGGATTACAGGTGTGTGCCACCACGCCCAGCTAAGACCCTAGTTTGATAAAAGAAAATGTCCTGGTAGGCTGAGTATGGTGGTACACACTTCTAATCCCAGCTATTCAGGAGGTTGAGGAGGGAGGACTCCCAAATTTGAGGGTCAACCTGGGTTATATAGCCAGTTAGAGGTCAGTGTAGACTGCATAGTGAGAATTTGCCTCAAAAAACCAAAAATACAGGGCAGGGGTTAAAAATGTCCTGGTAGAGAGAAATGTTCTGGCAAATGCAGTAATTCAGGGAGTTAAAAAGAAATTTATGTTTTCACATAGACAAAGGAGTTGGCTGGTTACTAAGCTGTACTGATGTCCGTCAGTGGGATGAAAGGAAATTGAGGGCCATTAACACATATTGTGAGTAAGACATATGAAAGCCAAGGAGGTTCGTGGTACCTTGTAAGTGGGTCCATCATTCCTGTCCTTAGAACAGTGAGCTGAGCAGCAGCAGAATCTCCTCTCTCAAGCTGCTGGGGCAGGGAGGCTGGGAATTCCGCACAGGCTGCTCCGCAGCACCTCAGTCAGCAGCCCAGCTGGGCAGGCCTGGGGCCAGCTCCTGCATGGAGGGCATGGGAGCGATGCCCCAGTGCTGGCTCCGCAACCACATGATTCCCAGAACCTGGAGCAGCAGCGCCTGCAGTTCCCAGCAGCCAGCACTGCTTCTGGGCTGCTCCTCCTCCAGGGGACAGGCTCCAGGCATGGAAACTCTGTCCAGCTCCTCTGTCAGGGCCAGACCAATAACTCAGAGCTGATTCCCACACACCCCAGAGGAGGGTTCTGGACTGGCCAAGAGGAAAGAGTATTCTCCAAGCTACCAGTGCTGGCAAGGGCAGGAGTCTAACCTCAACAGGTTCTGAGCGCAGTTGATCCAAGGCGCTGGAATTCAAGGCAAAGTAAGAATTCACTGCCTTTGGGCACCGTCTTCTGGCACAGGATGAAGTGTCTATCAAAGACCCCATGAGAAGGCACAAAATCACTGCTAGGATGATTCTTAGGGGCCCGGAGGAGGCAACAGCCAGTTCTGAGCCAAGTAGGAATACCCATGTTGTCACGGCAGAGGGCAGAGAAGAAAGAGGCTGAAGAAGACAAGCCTGTGGGGACAGCTGTGTCCCGGGCAGTCACATGCTGCCCAGAGAAGCATCCCCAGGGTTCTGGGAGGCCAGTGGCGGGGCTGGGTCAGAGTTCTCTGCAGACGGAGCTGGCAGAGGTCAGGCAGTCATGGAGCTGGGATTTAATGTCATTCTGGGGACAGTGGACCCCGAGTAGAAGGCCTAGTGATGGCGTTTGGTCATCAGGAGCCAGCAGGCTGAAATTTCCAGGGAGATTCAAGGGCAGCCAAAGGGCCCCGGCTGCAGGGGCCATGAGGGGGTCTACAGAGCTTGGCATCTCAGGGGCACAGTGGCTAGGCAGCCAAGGAGGGCATCCTTTAACATCTGCAGTCGGACACGTCAGGGGTGGAGAGGCAGGAGCCGAGGGGTCACCCTGGTGAGTCTCTATCCCTGTCAGCTCCCAGACCTGCTTCAGTATCAGATCTGGGACTGCCGAGTGATGGGATCCCTGAGGGGAAGAACAGGAACCACCATCCTGTTTCCTGTAGTGACCTCCCTCATCCTTCCTGAGGGACCCACAGCCATTCAGCCATTCTCCACGTCACTGTGCATTACTCAAACGAGAAGGAAGGCAGTGTGAGAATCTGTGCTGACCCTGAAACCCAGATGGCCGTGATGCCTGCTCCTTAAAGTTTAAGCGCCTGGTAATAACTGGAATCCTGTCCTGAGTCTGCTTGGGGAGGAAACTCTGGCTTTGTAAACACACCCAAGAATCATTCTGGAGTCACCAGATGCACAGTGGGAATTGACATACCTTCTGGTTGAGGTAATTTGGCTTTTGGAATGGGAGATATATCATAGCAGTTCAAGCCAGGAGTGATAGCACACACCTGCGAGCCCAGCACTCAGCAGGAGGTTCAATGCGAATTCAAGGCCAGCCTCGGCTATATAGTGAATTTGAGGCCAGTCTGAACATAGGGACACCCTGTGTCAAAAACAACAAAACAAAACAAGCAAGCAAAATTTAATTTTAAAAAATGGGCTAGGTATGTAACTCTAGGTTCAACTCTCTGGAAAGCAAACCGGACAGTCTCAGCCCAGGCACTAGGGTCCCTGTCCTGAGCTAGCAAGTTAGCTTCTCTGTACCCCCAGATAAGAAGTGGGGCCATACCGGGTGGGTAGCTGATTCCTGTGCTTTCTTGACTGAGTCTCTGGGCCATCCTGCAAGGCAGGGAGGAGCCGGGACTTTTGCATTATCTACCTTTATCTTTCTCCAAAGCCATTTGGAGAAATCCTGATCCAGCCAAGGCTTCCAGAGTGCAGGAGCGTCAGAATGGCCTGGAGGACTTGCTGAATAGATTCCAGAAGCCGGCCCCAAAGATGCCGTCTAGGAAGTCTAGGCAGGCCTCCTACTTCAGATTTCCATTCATTTCCTCTATAAACTAAAAGCCCTTGCAGACTACATTGAATATGTCCCATTGCTAAATTAACTGACCTCCGACCCCCTGGCTGAGACTAACAGACAGAGCATTTCCCTTTGTGCAGACAAAGTCCACTCAAGGGCACTGATCTCCGTGCTGCAGCATTGTGGGCAAATGGCACTAAAGAAGCTGTGGCTGCTTGGAGTGACCTGGGGAATCCATCCGCTTCACCTGCTGCTGGAGGCTGCCTTCTAGCATTTCGCTCCAGCAGTTCCCAAACATATACAAACCTTATTCCAATCCAAGACCTAGTGTTTGGCCTTTGCTGTTCCTGTTACAGTAACCCAGGCTCCCTCCTCTCAATATTTTTGTTTTGTTTTTGGGGATCGAACTCAGGGCCTTGCACTTGGTGAGGCAGGTGTGGCACCACTGAGCTAAGTCCCCCCCAATAATATCTTCGGCTAAATATTTGTGTTTAAAACTAGATCTAAGAGACATTTTTTTAAAGACAAAGTTGCTAAGTAGTTCAGGCTGGCTTTGAACTCAAGTATGCAGCCCAGGCTGGCCTCAAACTCACAGCAATCCTGCTTCAGCCTCCCAAGTGCTGGTATTACAGGCGTGTGCCACCACACCCAGACTACTAAGAGACATATGTTATACACCTCTCAGAACGTAAACCTAGTGAGTCATTAAGTGCCCTTACTTTGAACACAAATCAGTTATCAAACACCAATGATGGGCCAGAGATTTAGATTAGTGTCAAAAAAACCCCCCAAAAAACAAACAAACAAAAAAAAACCCAAAAACCAAATCAAACCAAACCAAAACAAAAAAACAGACAAAACACCGTGACAGCCAGGCAAGGTGGCCCATGCTTGTAATCCTAGTAGTTGGGAGGCTGAGGCAGGAGGATTGCTGTGAGTTCAAAGCCAGCCTGGGCCACATACGGAGTTTAAGGCCAGCCTGAAATACATAGTGAGAGCCTGTCTCAAAAAATAAAAAGTGAAAACAAAACAAAAAAACTCCCTAAAATCTGAATTTTTTTTTAGATAAGATTTTGCAATGTAATCCAGTCTGGCCTCGAATTCATTATGGCCTAGAACTCACAGCAATCCTCCTACCTCATCCTCCCAATGACTGCGATTACAGGTGTGCACCACTATGCCCAGCTTCAGTGTCTTTCCTGTTCGTAATAAATCCTCCAGCCTCCCACCAACATCACCCTAGAACGACCGAAATCTTGGAATTTGTCAGCAGGATTTTGTCATTCCAAGTTTTCCCCCCAGTCTCACCTTTAAAAGAATGAAAATAATCTATTTTTTTTAAAAAAAGCATTTGGATTAATGTGAATTACTTAGTAATTTAAGTGTCACCTGGTAGAGCAAGGTCCTGCAGCTGATAAAACCGATAAAACCATACATTGTCAAATACCCAGGGAGGGGAAGTAGGGGGGAAGGAAAACAGCCCTGGGTAACAGGAAGTAGAAGGAGAAATTTGCCTATAAAAGGAGTCCGAGGCCCTCAGGTGAAAAGGTGAAAGTCGCAGATATCCTTAGCATTTGGCTGTCTCCTGGGCGGCCTCGGAAGATGTCAGATCCAAGTAACATTGTCAGCCAGAAGGTAAGTTTCCTTTTTAATAGAATTTCTTTTCTCACCAAGTGGTCTTAAAGTCTTTCTGGGTCTCTTACTTTTTTTTTTTTTTTTTATTTTTGCTACCAATCAGGTTCTGGGTACAAGAAATCTCCATCTTGGATCCCCCTCTTCGCACATGACTGCTTCTCTTTATGGGATTCATGCTCCGTAAAAGACAAACGGCTTTCTGTTTTTAGTCCAAAGAAAGAGATTTAATTTTGTAAGAAAAGAAGTGTTGTCACTGGGCAAGATAAGAATGCTAAAGAAATGAAGCACTAAGACTTAAAAGGAAAAGAAATGGGTAATATGGATAAAGCTAGAAAGTAAAGTGACTAATTGGGGTCCCCCCCCAAGAATAAAAAGTAAGCATCTCTAAACGTCCTTCATATCTTGTTTCCATATGAGGTTTGGACGAGATGAGCACTAAGAAAATGCAGTTGTAGGGCTGGGGATTCAGCTCATCGGCACCGCGCCTGACTCGCCCAGAGCAAGGTCCTGAGTTCATCCCTGATACCAAAAAAAAAAAAAAAAAAAAGAAAATGCATTGTATTTACGGGGACGCCTTACTCGGGTAGAGGAGGAGCTGCCCAAGGTTAGGTTTATAGTGACTGGCAGTCACATGGTTACTCTTACTTGGGAAGTGGAGCGACGAGTTTTGGGAAGCGATATACAAATGCAGAAATAGCTAACTGCAAGCTAAGAGCCTGCGGGTAATGGGCAGCCTTTGAATTTAAATTGGGGCAGGGAGGGGGCGTGGCTACGGCTCCTTGGGAGCGAGGCCACCATGGGCCGCGGAAGGGCTTTGTCACCTTGAGTTGAGGGAAGAGCTAAGCTCTGGACCGCGCTCCCGGACAGGTTTCTCTGGTTTGGCTCACTTAATGAGGCTTGGTTTTCTCTTTCGTAGAACAAGAAAACTATTAATTCCAAGTAGACTGGGAGGGCTACCTAGGAGAAATACGGAAAGTACCAGCACTTAGCATGATGTCTGTGTACTGTAGGAAGCCAGCAAGGGGGAGTTTCTTCCTCTCTCCCTGCCTTCCACGTTACCTTTTGCTTATTTCACCATTAAAACAAAACAAGGCCAAAGGCTCGGTGCTGGGGGCTGCGTAATTCCTATGAAAGTAACAGCCAGCCAGATGGGTGCCTCCTTCCCCCCCACCCCAGGGCCTGGTCTGCTCGGGAGTTTCCAGGCCCACCGCTGGAGCCGGCTCTGACTCCTGTCTTTAACCGGAATAGCAATGAGACGCCACTGAGGGTTTTCCGGGCGAGCAGGGCACAGCCTGCAGATGGCAGGGCTATGCGGGCAAAGGAGTGCAGTAGGTTTGAGCCCCGCTTGAAGCCAGAGTCTTGTAGGAGTCCGAGAGGCAAGAACACATTCGATACGGATTCAGAGACCATGAAAGTATTTACTTTAGATCACGAAGAGGGAAGGAGAGGAGAAAAAACTCTCAAATCCAGACCCTGTCTTCTGCTTTCTTTCTCTAATCACACACCTGTAAATTGGCTTTTGCCTGATTCCTCATTATTTCCTTTAATAAAAGTTCTGCTAATCACATCTCATTAGAAGAATCTTGGTACCTTTCCTTGCACCTATCTTCTCTGTTGTTATGAAGCAGTTCTGTGCACTCAAACCAGAATCCGTGACGGACTTCTCTTTTCAGAATCTCTTTGACGGGGAAATAGATGAGGAGGAAAATGTGATTTTAACCCTGGTCCCAGTTACAGAGGAATTCGAACAAGGATTCAATGAGGAATCAAGTGTTTCTTCAACTGCAGATTTCCAAGGTGCGGGCATCGTACCTATGAGTTCTAGGAACAGCGATGCAGGTATGAGAACAGAGATTGCTTGGTTAGTTACCCGGGGAGCCCAGGAAAAGTAAGATATTTCTTATTTGTCTTTCTAACTGTACAACACCCACCTTAAATCTCACCTCGGTTACTTGTGGTCGGCCTCTCAGTCTTGGTGCTCTGCCTTGCTTTTCAGATGTAAAGTAGGCCTGGCTAGCTTTGGAAGGAGCATGTTTTCATAGGGCAGCCGGACAATTCAAAATTCCCCACCCGTGAAGAAGCTCAATCACGTCTATGCAAACAACCAAGAGGCTGGAAATGTGGTTTAGTGATGGAGGGAGCTAGCATTTGCCTAGCACACAAAGGGCCCCACGTTCAGCCCCCAGCACTGGGGGAGAGCGAAGGTTAATAATGCATGCTTGCCTCGTGTTAAGATGAATGTTGAGAAAAGATCTAGTATTTGTGTTTGGTGAATAATCACTGATAAAATATCTAGCAGGCCTTAAATCTTGGTGCAGGACTTTGTATCCTCTGTACTTCGTAGAAAGAGGTGAGACACCTTTTGTTATCTGGTCAGTAATAGAATTCAAGATGAAGTGAAGAGTGAGGAGAGGAGCAGAGAAAGGTAAGATGTGCTGAGCTACCAAAAGTAGAGCATTGTGGCTCAACGTGGGTTGGGATGGAAACTTGGATTTTGGTAGGAATAGCTGATATTTCTGGTTTAAGATTTAGCCACTTTGGAGGAGAAATACAGTATAATACTCTATCTAAGTAGTTGCCAAGATTTACAAAAAACAAGCTGGTGTGCGTAATATAAAAAACACGGAATTTAGAAGCCGTGTTTGGTGTAAGTCCTGTCTGTCTTTTTAGGAGCTATGTTATCTTGGACAAGTCTTTTACTTCCTCCATCTGTTACCTCACTTGTAATACGACATATGTGCAGACCAGTTTGTGAGAAGTGAGAAAAATCTTCGCAGAACTGTAAAGGAATGGTACAAACATTAAATGACTACTGCTTGGGCTCCCCTCTTTTCTCAGTTCACCTTCTGCAAATGAATGAAGAGTTCAAAGCTCGCCCAAAACTTAGGTATAAAGCACCAGCACCTCCCTTGCCAACCACGTTGCCCCCGGTGAACGAGGTGACCCGGGACACCTTGCGTAGCTGGTGCCAGCAGTTTAACCTGAGCACCGACGGCCAGGTGAGTGCCGCTGGGAGCTGCTGTTTGGGGAGAATACAGGGGGACCTTTGTCAACTTGTAACTCTATCGCTCTTTGATCTCCTTAGAAAATAGAGGTCTACCTGAGGCTCCAGAGGCACGTGTACCCCCAGCAGCAATGTGTGAGTTTGAAGGGTGACCCTGTGGAGATGGCTCTCGCTGGGGTGCCCGGCTCTGCTCTGCTAAACAGTTCCGTGATGCTGCGCTCTGAGGCAGGGTCTCTTTTTCCTTCTTTCTTTTGTTTTAAAATTATTTTTTGGTGGTATTGGGATTAAAGCCAGGGTCTTTGCAATAGTCCCAGGATTATAGCATCCCATTTTTCTCACTGAGAAAGTACTACTTTTATTTATTTATTTATTTTGTGATTTTTTTTTTTTGGTACCGGGGATCGAACTCAGGACCTTGCACTTGAGAGGCAGGTGGCAGAACCATTGAGCTAAATCCCTGGCCCTGAAAGTACTACTTTTAAATCCTTCCCATCCTGATGTCTGTGTAAAGACACTCTGTTGGTAAAGGGGACACCGAAGTCTATGGGAATCACACTTTTCCCTATTTTCCTCTGCAGGACATCATCCCTGGAACACTAGAAGACTCCAAACTACAGCTAAATTTCAGGAAACACAAGGTGGCAACCGGGAGGAAAAGGCATGTGAACCCTTTGTATAAGCTCAAGAAAGGCGAGACCAACGTAGTGGAAGTGGTGACTTCAGCTCAGAACTCCATGTTGGCATCCTGGGCCAGAATAGCAGCCAGAGCCACACAGCCCAAGGCTGCGACCTCCTGTCCCATTCCTAGTCCTGTGGAGGCCTTCTTGCCGCAAGCCCCTGGTAAGAGGAGCCTTAAGGCGGGAGTCCTGTTTTAGAGAAATGAGGCTAATGTTTATTAGCACTGCACTGCATGGGCCAGGGATTTTAGCTCAGTGGTGCCCCCACCTGCTTAGCAAGCTGAAGGTCCGGAGTTCAATCCATAGTACAAAAAAACCCCCAAAAATAAAAACCCCTTGTAAGGTGGTAAAAGCAGAGGAGTTAGCTAAAATAGACATAGATCAAAAGATGGATTCACATAGGGCTTATATCTTCCTTGTTTCATGAATAGCCACGTTTTGATTTTTCTGAGACAGGATCTCACTAGGCAGTTCAGGCTAGCCTTCAACTCATGGAGATCCCTCCTGCCTCAGACTTCTAAGTACTGGGATTATTTATAGGCAGGCCCTGCCATGCCTGGCTCAAGTAGTCAAGTTTTGTTGGGGTGGATCCTTCAGCCAGCTGCTTAAATGTGGACCTTTCTCATCTCTAAACAGAACACTAAGCCGGGAAGACAGCGTAACCTAATCATGTAGTCAGATGTGGTGGTGCACACCTGTAATCCCATCACTCAGGAGGCTCAGTTCTTTTCCTTTCCCTTCTTGCATTCCTAAGGTATTTGTAGGCATTGCCAAGTTACTTGGCTTAATCCTGGTTTCTCGGTCTAGAAAAATACACCCTGGAGTGGTGGTTTAAACCTATATATAATTCCAGCACTCTGGGAGGCTGAGACAGAAGCACTGAAAGTTCATTTCATGTCCAGTCTGGTCAACGTAATGGCTCAGTGAAACTTTGTCTTGAAATAAAAAAAGAATAAAAAAGAGGGCTGATGATGTAGCTCATTGCAAAGACTCTGGTTTCAGTCACCAGAATTGGGGGGTGTGATTTGTTGCCCAGCTCAGGTGTAGCTCAGTACATGGTCCAGGATGTCAGCCCCAGGATTACAAACAAAAAAAGATTTCTCAGGACATAGATCCCAAACCTAACATTTCTTATTCTCAATCACGATTGTTTTGTTTGTTTGTGATGTAGCTCTGGCTAACCTTGAACTCTTGGTGATCCTCCTGCCTCAGCCTCTCAAGCACCAGGGTCACAGGTGTGCACCATCACACCCCACCATAGTATCTTTTAGTCCACTTTTCCAAGCTTCTTCTGTAGATTTTTTTTTTTTTTTGGTACTGGGGATCAAACTCGGGTCCTTGTGCTTGCAAGGCAGGTGCGCCAGAACCTCTAAGCTGAATCCCCGGCCCTTCCGTTGATTTATTAGCAAAACATTAGAGTGAACTTGAGAGCGAGAGCACCTGCCAGGGCTGCGAGAGAGCCACTTCAACCCCGCTGCTCACCTCCGCTTCTCTGTCACCTCCCCAGGTTGTCGGTGGTGCGTGGTCCACGGCCAGCTTCGCTCTGCAAATGTGGAGGGCTGGGTGCGCCTGCAGTTCCAAGGGGGCCACTCCTGGGTCCCCAACACTTCCAGGGGGATGGCCTTCCTTTTCCTGTTACCTGCCTGCATCTTCCCGTCCCCAGGAATGGAAGATAACATGTTATGTCCTGAATGTGTTCAAAGGTAACCACTTCAGGCCTTCCTCAGCAGGGCACACAGAAAAGAAGTCTAGATGAGATGCAGGGGCACGCTCACTCCTGTGACCTCAGCACTCAGGAGGCTGAGGCGGGAGGATGCCTCAAGTTCTAGGCCACACTGAACTATGAGGTGAGACCATGCTAAAAAGAAAAACAAAAACAAAAAAACCCCACGAGGGCCGGGGATTTAGCTCAGTGGTGCCACGCCTGCCTTGAAAGCGCAAGGTGTCCTGAGTTTGATCCCAAGTACTGCCAAAAAAAAAGTAGGAAAAAAGAAACGATAAACGGGAATATAGTTGATATTTGTATTGACAGATGAGTGTGGGGAGGGGGAAGCAGAACAGGAAAGGGTCTGTGTTTGTACAAAGGGTCTTGTTTTCCTATCAGTCACTTACGGAGCAGTTTGACAATGACCACGTAGCCCCAAGAGAACATGCACCATACACTGTCCCTGTGCACAAAGCAGGTTTCAGTTTTACACAGACCATAGGAAATGGAAAGAAGAAAATCAGAGGAAGGAGGCAAGTCTCAGCACGAATCAAGAATACAGTATTGTCCTGAGGTACAGAAAGGGCGAGTGGAGAGCGCGGTACTGGGAGGGTTTGGAATCCTGAGCAAAGTCTGGGTCAGAAAAGAGCACCTCCGAGGCGGGGGTGAGTGTGAAGAACCGAAACTGAAGAGCCCTACCTACCAAGCGAATCAGCTTTCCAGTGGAAAGAGGCTGGGAGCTCAGCAAGGAAGGAAAGTGGAAAGTGGTGGTTGGGGCTGGTTGCCATGGTGAGCGCTGAGGCCAGAGAGCTTCCTGGGGACCAGTCTGTGGCCCGGTGGTGATCATGCTCTTGAGATGGGCAGGATAGCTCTTGTAGCTTGTCCTGTGTGGTTTTGTCATTGTTGAGTGAGGCACAGAGTCTCATTATGTAGCCCAGGCTGGCCTTGAACTTGAGATTGAGATCCTCCTGAGTCAGCCTCCCAAGTGCTGCGATTATAGGTGTATGGCACCAGGCCTGGCTACTGGTGGCCTTTGAGAGTAGGCGACGAGGGACAAGAGAAGCAAAAAGATGATTGTAGTTAAGTTGGCATCAAGCATGTGGAGACCTCACAAACGGGCGTTCTGATAATTCATCTTCACTTGCTGGGCCAGGGAGGAGGTAAGAGTGTGCTGAGGCAGTGCTTAAGGGGCTCGCCCTCCCTTCTCCCTCTCTGTCTGAATCTGTCCCCACACACCTGTATTTCATTAATTTCATTGTATTAGGGATTGAACACAGGGCTGTATTGTTTTAGGGATTGAACACTGAACATGTCCCCCTTTCTACATTTTTTTGTTTT